ACTTGTATGATATGAATTCTGTTACATTTAACAATTGCTTGTAGCTCAGAAGAGAATCAGTTGTGGTAGAAATTTTGTGTGCACTTAAAAATAATGTATATTTTGCTGTGGGATGGCATGATTGATTGATTTTTATTGTGTATATTTAAGATGTACAACATGATGTTTTGATATATGTGGTGAAGTGATTACTACCATCAAGAAAATTTACATATTCATTATCTCACATAGTTACCTTTTTTAGTTTTGAGCGGGGTAAGAAAACCTAAAATCTACTCTCTTAATAAATTTACAGTATACAATATAATTAACTATAGTCAACATGCACATTAGATCTCTAGATTTATTACCTCTTCCATAACTGCAACTTTGTACTCTTTGATCCACATCTTCCCATTTCCCCTGCTCCCCAACCTGATAATGACCTTTGTATTCTCTATGTATTCATTTTTTTATTTTTATTTTTTAGATTCTGCATATAAGTGAGATCATGTAATATTTTCCTTCCCATAGCTGGCTTATTTCATTTAGTGCACCATCCTCTAAGTTCATCCATGTTGTCACAAATGGCATGATCTTCTTTTTTCTTTTTTGTAGGGCTAACTATTACAGCCCTAAAATATTATTCTGTGTGTGTGTGTGTGTGCATGCGCTATATTACACATGCATGCGCTATATTATAATTTCTTTTTCTATTCATCTAATGAATACTTCAGTTGTTTCCATATCTTGGCTATGATGAATGATGCTGCAATAAACATGGGAAGGCAGATATATTTATAAGATGGTGATTTCATTCCTTGGTTATATACCCAGAAGAGATTGCCATTTCTTTAGAAATCTATCTACTGTTTCCCACAGTGGCTGTACCAATCTACATTCCCACCAACAGTGTACAAAGGTTCCCCTTTCTTCACACCCTCACCAACACTTGTTATCCCTTGTCTTTTTGATAAAAGCCCTGGATGAAGTGTTTTAAATGTCAGTTAGGTCAAGTTGGTGTATAGTGTCATTCAAGTCCTTTTATATTCTTACTGATTTTCTAGGCTATCAATTATTGAGAAAAGGTATTAGAATCTCTGCTCAAAATTGTCTGTTTTTCTTGTCTCCTCACAGTTGTTATCAGTTTTTGTTTCATGTATTTGTAAGCTCTGTTTTAGACCACAAATATTTAACAATGGTATGTCCTCTTGATTAATTGGTACCTTTATCATTAAGAAATTCCCTTCTTTATATCTTATAAGATTCTTTGCTCTGAAATCTACTTTAATATTAATATAGCCATTTCAACTCTCTTTTGATTAGTATTAGCTTAATATGTATTTTTCTATCCCTTTATTTTTAACTTATTATGTCTTTATATTTAAAGTGAGTTTCTTATAGACAACATATACTTTAGTGTTGCTTTTTTTTAACCCAAGCTGACAAATACTGTCTTTTAATTGGGGGTTTTAGTACATTTACATTTAACAAGATTATTGATGCAGTTGTTTAAATCTTTTATCTTGCTGTTCTTCTATCTGTTATATCTGTTTTTTATTCCCTTTTTCTTTCTTTTTCTGGATTGAGTATTTGTATGATTCTATTTCATTTCCTTTTTTGGCCTACTAGTTATAGTTTTTTATTATATTTTTAAAGGGCTATGGTATACATTTTATCTTACCATAGTTTACCTTTAAATGATATTATACTACATCACATAGAATAGAAACTATATATAGTTCCATTTCTCACTTCCTGGCTTTTGTGATATTGTTGTCATACAGTTTAATTCTACATATGTTATAAATTCTACAAAATATTATTATTATCTTAATTTAGAAAGACTCATACCATCTAAAGAGATTTAAATAATATGAAAAAATTTCACATTAACCCACATAGTAAACATTCTTCATTCTTTTGTGCATGTACAGGTTTCTATCTGATATCACTTTCCTTTTGGTTGCAGGACTTCCCTAACATTTCTTGGATTATAGGTCTGCTGGTGGTGAATATTTTCAGCTTTTGATATAGAAAAACTCTTTAGTTTTGTCTTTCTTTTTTAATGATATTTCTCTGTGTATAGAATTCTGGGTTATTTTCTTCAATACCTTAAAGATGTTACTCCACTGTCTTCTAACTTGCATTGTTTCTGAGAAGAGGTCTGCTATCCCCTTTCCTCTTGCTCTTCTGTATATAATGTATCTTTTTCCTCTGGATGCTTTCAAGATATTCTCTTATCACTGGTTTTAGTCAATTTGGTTATGATGTCCAATGTATAGTTTTCTTCATGTTTCTTGTGCTTGAGGTTTGTCACAGTTCATGGATCTGTGAGTCTATAGTTTTTATCAAACTTGGAAATGTTTACCATTATTTCTTCAAAAGTTGTTTGTCCTTCCTCCATTTTTTAAGGGATTCTAATTGCATACTTATTAGTCTGCTTGAAGATATCTCACAGTTCACTAATGTTGTGTCTACTTAATATGCTCAATATTTTTTCTAGCTTCTTGAACATATGGAATGCAGGTATAACAACTATAAATGTTCAAATCTACCAATTTTATAGTCTGTGTCAGTTTTGGATCTGTTTATATTGATATTTTTCTCATCATCATCAGAAGTAGGAAAAAGAATTTTCCTATTTCTTTGCAGGTTTGGTAGCTTTTGATTGGATGCCAAACACTGTAAATTTTATCTTGTTGGATGCTGGGCATTTTTACTCCTATAAATATTCTTGAGCTTCATCCTGGGATGCATTTAAATTACTTTGAAATAGCTTTATCCTTTCAGGCTTTGCTTTTAAGCTTTTTGGGGAAGACCCGAGCAGCATTTAGTCTAATTTTGCCCCATTACTAAGGCAAATCCCTTCTTAGTACTCTATCACATGCCCTGTGAGTAATGAAGGTTTCTACTACAACTTATGGGAAAGGGAAGTGAGCTCCATGGACTATTCCTTCTAAACCTTTTAGGTGGTTTCTTCTGCAGAAGACTTGAGAGGATTCCTCTGTATATCTCTGGAGCTTCCTTTCTGTGTAGCCTTCTCCTCTCTGGTCTTTGCCTTGTAACAATGTTAGCCACCTTGGCATCCCCAGACTCCATGCAAAGACTGGCAGTCTCCTTGAGTTAAAGAGATAGGTCTGGGAGTCTGGGGAGGCCTTATTAGACAATAAAGGTTAAAGGTCATCTTGGTGTTTTTACAAAGGTAAAATATTCTTATAGAAACATAACCACACTCAAAGCCACTTTATGAAAAGGCAAAATTAATATAGAAACAGTAACTCTAAGCCAAATGCCAGTAATGAAACAAAATTTATTAAATAGAAGCATGTACTCATTTATTCAGCAAATATTTATCAAACACATACTATGTGCAAGTTATGTCCCAGGCCCTGCAGATATAGCAGCGAAAGTTCCTATGCAAAAGCAGCGATGAGATAGGAGTGGAGACATATGATGAACAAATAAACAGACCACTTAGAGGCTTCTAATTCTCTACAAAGGCAGCCTCCCACATTTATAAAGTACTCATCTTCCCATCAAAGCAACTTGTACTCTTCACCCAACCAACAGAGATCAGAAGCAGAGAAAGATTTCCCATTGAATGATATACAACCTGTGCTCACTGTATTGTTGGCATTAATTCACCCTCAACTTTTCCATCCCATTCTTGACAGCAATTTTCAACCTTTTTCAGCACAGAGGACCTTATTTTCTACTTTCATCATTCCAAACAGCCTATATATTCAGCAGCCAATCTAAAGAAAAATGGAGACTTCAAAAAATAAAACCCCAAAAAGCATGCCAGCTAAATAGCTTCACAACAAACAGGTCATTTTAAGAAAAGACATCCAATTATGTAGACTCTGATTACTGGTAATAACTTTGAAGTCTTAAGAAATTTAACAACTTCAGCTCAAAACAATTAAACAGAACTGTTGAGGATAAAATCACCCCCTAAACTCAATATAGCTACAGATGCAAAAAGAATGAGAAGGCTTACTGATTCATTGTCCCTTCTGTTCCCAGTCCCCCAATGCCAAACACATCAGATAGCAAATATTAAAGCTTTGTTAAAACCAGAATTCATAAGAGGAAACCATTTTTCAGTAACAAAGTTTTTACATTTGATTTTTCAATTTTGAATTTTGAACTTTCCAAGGACACAGAACTGACAAATATAAACATATAAGAAAAGCTTTCCATTCTGCATGTGTATGTATGTATTTCATTTATATAAGTCAAACACGAAAGTTAGGCCTTCAACTAATAGACACTGACCTCAAGGTCATTTGGGAAGTATAATCTTTTCATTGATAAATTATTTCCCTTAAAGATATGAAGGCTTTCTGGACAAGTGTGCATTCTATATTATAAAAAAACAACTTCTAGTCATATATATTTCCTTCCTAGCAACAACTTGAACCTGCACTCAATCTGGAAAATCCTTAGAAGAAATCACTAACCTCACTGTGAGCACTGCATTAAAACTCTGAGAGGAAACTTGCCAATTCTCAGCAATATAATTATATCAGAGAAAGCTCCAAGCAGGAACAATGGGGGATTGGTGTATACATAGACAATGTTACTCATATCATGTAAGGAAAAGTAAACAATATACTTTATTTCATTGCATTATCTGTAGAGCATACATATGCTTCCATATGCTCTTAGCATATTAAGCTACCTGTTAGCAAAATATTCATGGGGTATTGTATGATTAATGAATATCATTGGTAAAGGAATGATTGAAAGAATTAATGGCTTAGGTTGGTAAGGTTAAGCAAAAATCTCAATGTAATTTTTTAAAAAGACAAAGAAATATACTAAAATGCATTTTAGTAAGGCAAATAAATCTCTGTGTTATGACAAATGGAGTTTCAATTAGTGGATAGCTACCCCTTTAGTTAGTAAAACCACTTGTAAGATGAACATATTTTCTAAGACCTAAAAGAATTATTTTTGTCTAAAAAAGAAAAAAAAAAGAGAAAGATCATAATGTTTTAAAAAACATCACTCACAGATTCCTTTCCCATCTTCTTTTGTAGCCGTGTTTGCCACTGGACAGCTTGCATGACAATAGCTTCCCACCTTCTTTCAAGATTTACAATGATCAGCTGCATGGGCTGGTGGTCTGCATTCAGATTGCAGGTGTCCCTGTCATCCAGAAGATGCTGGCATAATCGCAGAATTGAGGCCACTCCTCGACGTCGCTGCTTGATTTCACGACAGAGGGACTGCAACAGAGAGATTGATCTATCAGTGTTTATTAGGCAGAGTTCTGTAAGACATGAAACACCCTCTTCTACCACAATTTCAAATTGTAGTGATACACTCAGCTAAGAACAAAAGGACAAGAGAAAGGGCTCTGAGGTCTCCTTTAGATTGGAGGCCTCCTATTGATAGCAAATTAATGCTACATAATTTAGTTGCATCCTATTCCTCTATCCTTTTTTGTTGAAGTAGCCCTCTGAAACGTAGGATCCCCCCCTTGATACCTAGGTCAAGGGTCCCCCCTTGATACCTAGGTAATTAACAATATCTAACCTAATGAAATAAATCATTTAGGTCATATGAATGTCAAACAGAGTGACATGCTTTGATACTAGGTCAAATAAAACACAAAAGATAGAAAAATCCTCCAATAGGAAATGGAATTTTTCCAAATTTACTCGAAGATTTTTTGAAAGCAAAACGTTCAGTTTTCTACTGACTGAGAATAAGTTAAATAAGATTTCAAAGAACCTTGATACATAAAATCTATCATCTGAAAAAAAAAAAAGATTAGCAATATTTCTCTTCCGAAGCTTGATTAACAAAACAATAATGTTCTGAAAACAAAAATTAAGATACTGGATTATTACTGCACTATTTGGTGGTTGTTGTATTTCTTTTAATAGACATTCACACTATTTAGAAGGATATGCATACATCAAAATAGCATTTTGCCCCCAGAAGCATTTGTATTGCTGCAGTGACCCTAAACTGAATGATTCAAGCAAAATAGTGGATACACATGTCTAAAAATATTATATCCTTTCTTTGCCTACGGATAGTGTGTAAGTGATATTCTAATTCAAAGCCTTCAGGAGAAATGATGATTATATCCGCAAACATCACTGAATTACTAATCTTCTTCTATTGCCACAATTGGACTATTCTAACAGTTAACAGATTGCTTATTAATCAACAAGGGTAAATAAGACAATGCAATTTCATTTAGTGTGAGAGTTTTAATGCCTAAAAGTATTTGTGCTTAAAATGTTAATCTAGATAAGGCTTCATTAGAAGAAGTCTTAAAATGATTAAGTGCGGTTCATTGAAATGTGCAGGGAGTGGGAGTATTAGATCAGCAGGTGGACATTTCATACAGATGTTCCACTTATTGATATAATGCATGCTATAGCCATTTAAATGACCCTAACTCAGTAATAGCTGGAATTCTATTATTTCTATAATGAGAGAACCCTGTACCTTTAATATTTCTGAATTTTAAATAAGGTGAATGACAAATTCCCAAACCTCTATTTATGGCAAAATATGACTAGGAATTTTATTATTCAATTTACACCAGTGCAGCAGTTTCAGTTATGTTTCCTGAACTTATCCTTATTTATTTTCCTAACGTTCATTACTATTTTCCTATATAACTCCTGATATCACCTCTAGGTCTGACAAATTTCTTTACTTATGCTATTTATTAGTTCAATGTTGTATTAGAAGAGACCCCTAGATATTCAAAGGTAAAATCTGAGGGTCTCTGCCCCACGTTCCCTCTGTCTGCCCCCCTCTTTCAATTTGCTTTTTCTAGAACTGTGATCTCCAACCCCGGGGGGGGGGTGGCGGGGGCAGCAGCACAGACTGCTACTGGTCTGTGGCCTGTTAGGAACTGAGCTATATAGCAGGGGTGAACAGCAGGTGATCAAGCAAAGCTTCATCTGTATTTACATCTCTCCCGATCATTCACGTCACCACATAAGCTCTGTTTCCTGTCAGATCAGCAGTTGTATTAGATTCTCATAGGAGAACGAACCCTACTGTGAATTGCACATGCAAGGGATCTAGGTCACACTCCTTATGAGAATCTAATGCCTGATGATCTGAGGTGGACTTCAGGTGATGGTGCTAGCACTGGAGAGCGACTGTAAATACAGATTATCATTAGCAGAGAGGTTTGACTGCACAATAAATGTAATGTGCTTGAATCATCCCCAAACCATCCCTCATCCCTTCCATGGAAAATTTGTTTTCCATGAAACTGGTCCCTGGTGCCAAAAAGGTTGGGTACTGCTGTTCTAAGACAACTGTTGGGCAGTTCAAATTTTGAAGCACACTTAATACCTGCCAATTTTTGGTCCAATGTTAAACACTTCAAGATAATATTATGGGCAACTGAAATTGGTCCAAATGAATCCCATGAATATGAATATTGAGGATTTTGGTTTTCTGTTTCTATTTTGCTGTTAATTGTTAAAAGCAAAAGGTTGGGGCTGGGTGTGGTGGCTCACACCTGTAATCCCAGCACTCTAGGAAGGTGAGGGGAGAGGATGGCTTGAGCTCAGGAGTTCAAGACTAGCCTGAGCAAAAGTGATATTTGTCTCTACTAAAAACAGAAAAATTAGCTGGGCACAGTGGCATGTGCCTATAGTCTCAGCTACTCAGGAGGCAGGAGGATCACTTGAGTCCAGGAGTTTGAGGTTGCACTGAGCTATGACAATGCCACTGCACTCTACCCAGTGTGACAGAGCAAGACTCTGTCTCAAAAAAATAAAATAAAATAAAATAAAAAAGTAAAGGGGTTGAAAAAATCAAGAGATATTTCTATACTGTAGAACCAGATTTTGAAAAACTCTTTTTGAAGTTAACTAGAATAATAACTGCATTTCTCAAGCAAACAAAAAGTCCCAAAGTTCTCAGCTGAAAGAAAATTTGCAATGGATTACACTAAAGGTGTGTGCAGAGTAACATTTGCAAAGCACTCCAGATGGACTTCATTCACCTCAAGGCATCTCAAAGTTCTGAAATAGGACATTTGAGAGATTGCTAGGGGAAATTTTCATAAAGATCATTGGCCATAAATTTTTGTAGGTATCTAGAATATATCCAGTATTTAAGTAACTAGGTGATCCCCATTCCTCATCTTAATATGAATCAGTCAAGATGTATACTGTGGTTTAAAAACTGAGAAAGTAGTTACTATTGATATTCAATATCTGATTTTTGGATCTTACAATTTTACATTTTTTTTTTACTTTAAATAACCAAAGAGTTTAGTCTACATTCTGAATTAATAATTTATCCTATATGTATACTTGGGAAATAATGCTACTCTTAACAAGGAGGGGAAAATTGGAAATTTTACATGGCCAATATATTTTTCAGTACTTTTTTATACCTAAGGAGATATAATTGATAAAATCACATTCTTCTATATAAATGGATTTCCATGACAACCATTAAAATATACATATTTATTTATAATCACAAACACATACTAAATAAAATCAGTGGATTTGACAGCAATGTTTCTTGGATTCAGTAGTTTACATTATTTCCATAATAAACTATGCATTGAGAAATGTTAAATATAACTACATAGGAACAAATGATTATTATAACTATTTTTGGCTTATATTTCAGAAAAAAATGTACATTTCAAAAAGAAATCCAATCTAAGCAATCTAAGTAAGGCACAGAAATAAGACAAACTAATGCCTACCTCCCTGACCTCCTCAAATGTGTACTGCACCCTCCATATGCTAGGAACTGTTTTAGGACTAGAGGCTTCCAAAAGGAACAAGTTATTGCTCCTTCCTTCAAGGAGCTGAAAGTCTACTGGAAGTGAACAGTACAAATGAGTACATACCACATATAAGGCAGAGAGGGAAGTGCTAACAGAAGTGTGTGCAAGTTGCTTTTGGAGGAATGGATGAAATCATGAAGAAAATGGTGTGAACCAGATGGCCTAAGATGGGTGATAATGGTTATAAGGGTAGAAGATCAAGAGGCATGTTAATGTGGAAAATAAGCAAATAGCTTTGGGCAGTGGGAATGCCGAAGTGTATTGGGGAGAAAGAAAGTGAAGCAGCTGAAAAAGGGGGCAGGAAACAGACAAGTTTAGAATGCTTTCCATTATTGCCAACTTTGAAACATTTTCCTTAATATCTATTGAGATCAGTTGGTTCCTTGCATAGACATACTGCCACAAGAGGGGAATGGATTTCAAATGCTTTTATATTTAGTTATCTTTATCATTTGGTAATCATTAAGCAATTTCTTCCTACAAAGCTACCTGTGTTAGTATGGAGGTTATTATCTTAGCATCACCTCAGAACCCAATTGTTTGGTGTGCTACTTTTACATTTCTAATGACCTATTTTATTTATTTTAAGTTTCTATACAGTTTCCTCATGTTATCAAAAAGGCAGATTTGCTATAAAAATGAGAAATAGAGAAAAATGAGAAAATTTATGTAGTATTTTCCTTTACAATGATCACATTTCCAATCCTCTAAACCCATTTTTTAAAATCACATCACAAGAGTTTTCAAAAGGCTGAAGGTTTTGTTTTACATTTGTAAACCATCAATCTGACTTTCAATTCACCAATGGCAATGCACAGAGGTGTTTTTTGGTTTATATTTTTCTTTCATCTCTTGACTTCCTCTGTCAACTTTTTCAACCATTTAAACCACTCACATTACCAAGCCAAATGTACATGCAACATCATTCATCACATTGGCTTCAGTTTAACACCACTGAAGGGAAGACTTTTCAAGTCTGGTACTTTATTCATTATATACTAAATATGCAAACATATTACATAGAAAGATTACATTTATTTGTATACACACATACTTGACATTAAACAAGTGTCATCTACTTCACAAAAGGATGTAAATAAGCTTACAATAAAAGAACTACAATTAGACCAAGAACTGTTACAACAAATACATTTTAAGAACACAATAGAGAAAAGATAGGTAAGGAGAAAAAAAGATTAAAAAAAAACCCTAAGTGTATGTTAAAAACAGAAAGAAACAAATCTAGCTGAGATACTCCAAAGCAATTTGTCTCCAATACTTATTACATCATTTTATTCAGCAGTTAATTTAACATCATTACGTAGGTCAATATAACAAAGTAGTGGGTTTTTAGGTGATATATTACATTAAAAAATACCTAGGAAGCATTCTATTTATAAAGGCAAACATGACCACTTTCTAGACTGATAAATT